CACCCAGCTATTTTTTGGTTGCAGCCGTCATTGTTGTTTGGCGGGTCCGGGCTGGGGATTCGAACCGGCCACCTTAGGTGTACGTGGCTGGCGCCCTAGCCAGTTGAGGTATAGGCGCCGAGCTGAAGATTATTATTATTATTATTTTTTAATCCTTTCTGTACATGGGTAATCTGAGAATTAGAGAAGTTGGCCAAGGACACAGTGATCCAAGCCCAGGACACTTGGCCATGAAGGTTTACTTCCTTCCCTCTGCCCCACCCACCCCTGACACACACGTTTGCCATTTAAGCCTCTGGCTCCAGGAAAATGGAAAGGAATTTCTCTTTCTTAAAGTTCAAAGCTTGCTTTGACCTGTAAAAAATGCCCGACTACTCTTTCTGGGTTCCAGGAGCTGCCAAATCTCCCCTTTTCTCCCCTTCCAGACAATCACAGCCCTGATTAAGCCTTTCCTGTTTGCACTCCCATTTCCCACATAACTCACTATCGTCTTGCCTGCTGGATTTGTCCCTTTCCCTCCTTGCCAGTCCTGGCCTCTCAGGCACCAGTCCATCCTGCCCTCACTTTTCTCGATCAAGCTGCTTTCTCTCCAGGGTTTCTGGTTGCGCTTCATGTGGAGACCAGACTCCAGCACTTGCTCCTCCCAAGCTAATCTTTTCTTGGCCCTTTTTGCCTTGCTGAACTTCCTCTGCTCCCTCCACTCTCCAGGGACAAGTATCCCACACCCCATCCTGCCCCTTTGTGCCCCTTCCTTGCTTTCTAGATATCCAGCTCAGAGCACTTCTTCTCCAGAGGGAAGATGTTTTTTGGGGGAGACAGAGGTTCTGTTTTACCTGAGCCTTCAATTCCTACCCCCTTGTGTGGGCCCCTGCAGGGCTGGCAGGGGATCCATCAACCCCCCAGGCTGCCCTGTGTAAAGACCAGTTGCCTCCCTTTTTAGGAATTCCCTCTCCTCTGCCCTCCCTTACAACAGACCCAGAGTGAGTGGGAAGGACCTAGGGTGCCTGCCTGGAGACGTGTCCCATTCATTGTCAAGGGTGCCATTTGATTTTTTGGGCCCAGGGGACCTCAAAGTCTAAGGGAAAACCCTCTCTGATGGTTTCATGGCTAGAACTCTTGCAAATAACAATGTCAGCACCCCACACTCCTCTCCCCACATACATGATACTGACTTTTTCCTCTCTCCTCTGAACAGGGTTACCTGACCCTCAGAAAGATAGGCATTTTCTGTCCCCATCTTACCTTGTATCAATGCGTCCTCTCAGGATGGCAGTCATTTCATTGTATTTTGGTTACCTGTTCACATAGAAGCCAAGACTGTTTCATTCCATCTTTAACTTCCACACAGCTTCTGTGGAGCCTGCTACATGGTGCTCGAAAATGTTAAACAAACAAATGCATGGAAAATAAATAAGTACAGTGCATTGGCAAGACTGTGAATGTACTTTTTCTGGGAGGGAGTGTAAGTCTGTATGACTTGTGACGGTGTGTGTTTGTGGTTCTTTTTAGTTGCTTGGGCTTGAGAACTGTCTTGAATATTGTGTACCAGGTCTTTGAGGTGTGTTCTTTCTGTGTCTGTGCTTTTAAGGAAAGAATAACTGTGTCATTATGGTCCTGGTTAATCTAATTAC